CGAAGTCTTTGCCCACATTCAGCACTTTGAGTGCTACTATCTTTAATTACCGCAGGCTTTCTTATAGCCCAGTACGCACACCGTCACCACTTAGTCAGACATTGCGAACTCAGGCTTATCGCATATACCACCCCCTAACGGTCCCTATTTGTTTGGCTATAGAAACTGCACATTTGTTCTTAGATTTTTCACAGTCTCTGGCGATGATCTCCTGTACGAGATAGAATTATCTGACTAATATACCAATTGTGCCGGTGCTCGCGCGTTCCCCTGCCATTTACCCCACCCCTTGAATTTAGTCTAAGACTACCTGTAACATGGGGGCTTATTTCCATAACCAACCTTTGGTTTTCGAAGAATAAGCAAACCATGGTCAACTAAAAACTTTACCAATTGATACAAGCAACCGCAAAGTTAGAGAAAGAAGTTAGACGTCAGTTCTCCAAGGAATTCCCTGTGGACTATATAGTTGACGGGGCTCCCTGGCACTCATTTAGTATGCCAATCTGCATGCCGCTCCATTTCTAACTGCTCCATACTGTTGGTCGCGTTACTAATTTACACAGTTTCCTACCAACTACGTAGCCTGATCTTATAGGAGCAAACGTGAATGCGTCCTGAAACCCTAGCTTTTTACTCAATTGTAATGGGCGGACGACGAATTATTTGAATATGCATTTTTCCTTAATCTATAAATATGATGCATATTGTAAATGACGCCGAAATTGCCAAAAATGAGATACTTTATGGACCGGGTCGTCATGAAGTTATGCATCTAAGGTGCATCCATTACATATTAGGTATGAAATTTAAAAACTGGATGGAATAGGGCGATGACTGAAGTCTTAACAAAAACAAGTCTTACCTGGATCGGTTTAGGGAACCCTTCAAGCAGCAGAACTATGATGATAACAGATAATTTATTTAGGAAATTCATTTACTAACAATGGAATTGATGGTTCTAAGCAAAATTTAGGCCCTCGGGTAGTGTGTGACAGGCGGAGAGTGTGAAAGGCCTATAGGCCTAAAGGCAGTAGAAAAAATAGGTAAAGGTACATAAGAAAGTTTACATTTTAAGGAAAAACAGGGGCAGAACGAAAGTCGTCGAGGACGTAGTCCTGAAGGCAAAACAAAGCACGTACACACATTAACATCGACAAGACGCCAGTGTTAAGTCTTTTGTCGTTTCTAGTAAAGAGGATATGGCGGTGCACTTGCTGGATAGGGAGGAGGATGGTCCTGTGTCGAGGAAAGACCCCTTGTACGAGACATTGTGCGTGGTTTTATGGATTTCGATCGCATGTACGAAATCAATTGGTCCGGTATCTCTGCAAGTACAGCACGCGCAAGCTCGCGCTTCAGTTCCAGCAGCGACTCATAGCCACAGAAGTCATCAAATGGTACGAACTGAAATAGAAAATAAATTCTAGCCTTCGAGTTTCCTTAGGAATTAGGCGCTCACTTGGGACTGATGAGTACAAATAAATATGTTTATGTGAATAGTTGAGCCGTATTACATCAGATACAGTAGGATAAATGCATACTATACAGCAAGTCATATTAATATGTTGCATGGTTTATTGTCTCGACACAACGTCCAAGGACCAGTGGCATAAATTTGACAGATATGTGCAGACCCTAGCAGAGAACCGTCAAAGCAAAGATGATTAATCTACTCCAGATAGTATGTGAAGGAACCAAAATCACAACCGAAACCTCACTTTTAGATTCATCATCGAAAAAGTTAAATAAATACCGGTTAATTTTACCTATTGAAACTTGAAAAAGACCAGAAAAATTGGACTCATGAATATCCAGAACTTGCCCCACGAAGACGCCTTTTAGTGAGACACGCCTAGTGCAATACTAAAAAGAAACTCCGAGAAAACTCTCTAACTAATGTTCTTAGTAGCTCCAGTCAGATTTTTCTTATATATCAATTCGATTCTACAGCGAAAATTAAAGTTGTGCACTCACATCACGACTCCGTTTAGTTACTGCTTTGTTTACTACTGCGAAACTGTTTTGGTTACACAAGTCTGCTTCCATTCAAAGATACACGTAAACACGTTCCAGCAGGGCCTAAAAACTGCGAAATGCGGATAGTAAGGAGCTCTACCTCGCATTTGTGGTTGATTTCGGGTACCGCGTGCTCCGAGAAACCTATCGGCGGATTCCAAAGGACCCTCCAAAATACTTAAGAGCAATGTGGCTGGGTCTTGTAGCTCTAAAAGCGTAAACCGTCCTATGCACACTGTTGAACTCTGCATGTACCATAACCAAGT